GGGAGCTACAGCTCAGGCAGCGGGAGCCTGGCAGTGCCAGGAGCGGCACTGGTGCTGCACGGGGCACAGGGGGGTGTCAGGCACCCGACCGTGACTCCCAAACGTGCCAGCAGCTCTGATGGGCACTGGGGAAATGCCCGCTGCCTTCAGCCTGGCCGGGACGTGTCCAACCGATGGTGCCCACACCTGGCCTGTGCGCTGGGGAACGTCCCACAGCAACATGGGAGTTCAAACAGCCCTGGGTGCGCCGATCCCTGGGATGGCAGGAGTGGGTGGGTGGACGCAGTCGTGGGGAGAGAGACATGCTGGAGGGGGGACCTGCTCCCCGTGCTGGGACCCCTCGTGCAGCTATGAATTCTCTCGCAGGAGGCGGACAAGAGCTACAAGCGTCTGGCCCCCCAGCAGCCGGTGGGGTTGCGTCACGCTGGCTACGTCATCGCCGTCCAGAACGTTATCAAGGTGGGTGGCTCTGGGTACTGGTGACACGAGGTTGGGCCGTGGGATGTCAGGACATGGCCATGCCCCAGCAGGGAAGGACAGCGATGGTCATCTCAGGCCGGGTGCTGCGGGCACAGCGTGGGTGCAGGCTGCCTGTGTGTGGCAGCTCCCTGCCAGCCCTGTGCCTTGCATGGCGGGGAGCAAGGTGGTCCTGAGTTGGGGGGCTGGTGGTTTGGCCCCAGGGCTGCCCTGTGGGATGGGGTTGCTGCCTGACTGCTGCCTGACTGCTGCCTGATGGCTCAGCCCGTCTTCTCTCCCCCAGGATGCCAGCGGGCGCGTGATCGAGCTGGAGGTGACCTGCACCAAGTCGGACGTGGCGGAGAAGCCCAAAGCCTTCATCCACTGGGTGTCGGAGCCGCTGGCATGTGAAGTGCGGCTCTACGAGCGGCTGTGAGTACCGGGCCGCCCCCAGAGGTGGAGGTGCAAGCTCAGCAGTGCTTGAGTGGCAGTGTGGCCGTGCACCAGCAGGCTCTGCTGGGGTCGGCCTGGCTCCTTGGCAGGAAAGATGCTGCTGTGGGGTCCTGTGAGCCGCTGCCCCTCAGCTGCCACGGGGCACCACGTCCCCTCGCCCAGCAGCTTTGGGAATGAGACTCTGTCTCACGGCAGGTTTTTGCACAAAAATCCCGAGGACCCGTCGGAGGTGCCCGGTGGCTTTCTGAGTGACCTCAACCCTGTGAGTAGCAGCAGGAGCTGGGGTTATGGGCCCAGGGGGTGCTGGGGACCTCCTGCGCCCACACCCGAGGCACCTGCTTCCATATGACCCCTATCCCTTCCTGGGCAGGGTCCTGCTGTGCTCTGGGGGGGAGAGGGGCTGGGGGGAGCAGGGCTATGGAGGGGGCAGAGGGGCCGGGG